TTATTTCTCTATAAACGCTATCATTTTTCGCCTGCGATCAATTGTCGCATGCGACCAGTTGTACTTGCGACGAATTGTATTGCGATTAATTGTGACTGCGACCAGTTGTCGTTGCGACCAGTTGTCGCTGCGACCAATTGACGCTGCGATCAGTTGTTTGCGATCAATTGTCGCGCGACGAATTGTGCACGACGAATTGACGCGGTACCTAAAATATGCACCCTCTGATGCGCTAGTTCTCATCAGTATCAAATGTCAAATTTCTTCCACACACGTGACATTGTACAGAGAAAACAATAAAAATATGATTGAAGACAGCCATCAGACATTTTTCAAGATTTGTCTTTGATAGAATTTTTGCTTTGTCAAATTACTTAATTTGAAAGTTTGAGTTGAAAATGCAACGATCAAAGGCAAACTTTCAAAAATTCATGGTGTTTTTGATCGTGTTTTTTATTGCTCCCTCGATATATTTTTGACGACCCTATTATTGTCTAATTATGTTCTAATATATTTTCAACTACTTACCATATTTATTCGAATAGTACGGTTACGCAGTTTCAAACAGGTCAAACTAATTTAACTCCACTTCAATTTTACTCATAAGTAGATACAAATTATTACTATTTTCTATAAATTTCTTTTTCCTGTCGTGGTTTTAAAAAGTTTCGATTTATTCGCGCTTGAAATGATTTTCCAGACGAGGTTCATTTTAAAAACAAATTTTATATTTATCTATTATTTTCAATATACGTACCTACAGGTAGATTATTTTTTAAAAAGGTAATTACTACTAAGTAATTACTAACAATCTTTTAAAGTTGTATTATGGTCCTTTGCGTAGCACATAGGAAAATTATTATTTCCGACTAGTTTGTTTTTAAGCCAAAGCACACAACTAAGTTTTTTAAATAGAACACCCTGTATATTTTTACATATTTTCATAAGCCTCTTTCTAAGCTTTACGACCATAACTTTTTTTTTGAAATTTCTATGCGACGTTGCCAGTTATTCTAATTTTCTTAAATTTTTGTGCCAATGCTAAGAGAGAACAACAAAGGTAGGTACGCACTCTGTTGTGGTATTAATTAACACAAATTTTATTGTACAGAGTGTTTATAAAATAATTCTAAAACGTCACAATTTTCAAAAATCGATATTTCAGTTTTTTCAAGTAGGACACCCTGTATTTTATAACTTCAACTTCCTTTATTTTTTATTCTCTTTCTTTTGGCCTCGGTGTGTCTGTTAAATAAGTAAAAAGCGTCATTAACAAATTAAACATAGAAAATAGTTAAAAGAAAAGAGCATCAAAAATAAAATAAGATGCAGTATTAAAATACAGGTTTTCTATTGATACAATTATTTACATTTTTCCCATATGCAGGATGTTACAATTACAAATACAATAAATATTCCTAAAAATATAACAGACATAAAAAACGATATATGTAAATTTTAAATAAGAGCATATTTTTACTTTCAAGGCGTAAACTGAGTACCTACGAAACAATAGGTCGTCCGTTTCCGTCTGTCTGTTTGTCTACTGTCTATCCGGATTTTTATTAAACAGATAATCTCCGAAACTATTGAACCGGTTGTTAAATTTGACTAATCATCCCTACCAACAAATTGTTGACGTCATCTCCAAAATTTACAGTAGTAAAAATTAATACAAGTTTATAAAATAAGATACTCCTGCACATGTGGTTTAACAATCACAATTAACAATCAAAATTACAACATCTTGCAAATTTTTTTCGTTTATACCCTTCTAAAACAATAATGACATGATTTTACAATTTTGCCAATTTAATTTACATATCTTTACCAAGTATAATTTTTGGTGATTCCAAAAGCATTGTTTGTCTATTATTTCAAATCCAATTCGCATCTGAATGACTCGGGTTTGGGTTATCGGAAGTTTTCGAAGAAATTTTTTTTTTTTCATCTATTTAAGCTTTTTTTTCATCTATTTTAAGATACTTTATCATGTTCTAAGCAAACAGGCCCATTTTGACGTAAGGTTTTTTATTGCTTTTCTATAAAATAAAGAAGTCAGTTTTTGTTGTGAAGTTTTTTAATGCATTTTTTTAACATTCACCCCATTTTTAAGATTATTTTTTAAAAATTTGTGGACCATGATTCCAGCGGATCCATATTTATAGAAACCGCTAACTTTGCGATTTTTATAAACAAATAAAAACAGTTCAACGTCAACATTAGTCTGTTAAAAATGATAAATCACCTTATAATAAAAATGAAGGAACAAAATGAGGGGTGAAAGGTACCATTTTATTTATCCTTTTTTTGTGTTACCTATATATATTTAATTTTATAGGATTGTATACTTCTGCATGTGTATTTCATGAATCCATGTTGAATTTTCACCCAAGACATCCAGATTTTTGGAAAAAAAATCCAAATTGTGTCACATTTTACGATTTAAATTTGAAATTGTAAAACCAAATGCTTTAAAAGCTTACAAGTTTATTAAGATTAACGTAAGCACGGTAAATCGTTAATCAAAATGTTTTCGTTTACAGCCTCCTAAAACATGATGACGTCATTTTAATATTTTGTAGAACAAATGTTTTTTAAATTTTATAGAACTACATGTATGTATAATTTAGAATCCGTGTTGAGTTTTTAGGAAAAGATTCAAAATTTTATTTTACAATTTAACTTGAAAATGGCAAAAGCGAATGTACTGAAATATTGCAAACGTTTTAAGCTTACAGGAAAGATGATAAATCGTTAATCAAATTTGTTAATTTGTTCATTTAAGGTCTTCCCAAAAAGATTATGACGTCGTCATCTTAGTAAGCATTCTGCCGAACAAATGTTCTTTAAAATTTATAAAATAATATATTCCCGCACGTGTGATTTATGAATCCGTGTTGAGTTTTTTTCCTTAGCATCCAGATTTTTGGAAAAAAAAAATCAACATTGTGTAACAATATTTTACAATGTAACTTTGAAATTTCAAAAATCGAATGCTGTGAAATCATGAACATGGTATAAATCATTAATCAAAATTTGTCCGTCATCTTACATTTTTGCTGAATTTCTTCAAATTTATGAGTGTTTTTGGAAAAAAACTGAGTATGAATCAATCAAACAGTTCTTTCCTCTGCGTTGAGGACACAAAATCAATCAAATTTAATTTTCTTTTAATCGCTGATGTGTGTGTGCTAGTAATTCGGTCGAAGTATAAACATAAACAGTCGAACTTAAGCATATACTGAGAAATTGAAATTGTCTACATTTTTCCGGTTAGTTATCTGCTTTAAATATATTTCATATTTAAAGACGTAGGGGTTGCGGGGATGTTAATTATACCACTTTACAGAGGTTAATAGTTATCACAAAACGAAAATCGTAAGAATCTAATAGGTATATAATTTTTTAAATAAGCGGAATTTATCGGACCTTACTTCAAAAGCGAGGGAAGTTCTGTCAAAATAACCTTCCATAATTTTTTATTAGCTTTGTTTTTCTTGGTGGGGTCATCAAAATTCCAAAAACAACATAATTTTTCTAAAAAGGTTAATGTCGCCAACAAAACTGAAAATAGTAATAGTAATAGTAATAATAATACCTAAACAACATCTGTATTATACAACACCACAGAGCCCCACTATGTAAATTTTCCGGTGGACCCCTGTGTCCTCAATCCGACACTGTGTTATCAATCTGGTTTACAATATCAACAAAAATTAAATATGGTGCTTGGTTTAACTAGACAATATGTAAATTTGTAACTATTTATTTCACTAGGTATATAAATAAATAATATCTTTGTCGGCATTTTATATTACTTTTTCTTTGTTTTAGTATGAGATTATTGAAAAAAAAAACTGAACATAACTGACTTTACAAAAGATATCTACCCACCGTCTAAGTGTGCCCGTTTTGTCTTTTGTTTATTTGAATGCATTAGTAACTGTTAGGTACATTTATAACATAATGTAATTATGATAAATGTCATTTGCCTAAATTGATAACCCTAGTTGATTAGAAAAAATATTAGAATAATTACAATAACAAAACTTAATAAGAAAAAATTTTTAAATAAAATAACCAATTAGTTCAAGCAGTTTGTTTTCAGACTGACATCCCGAAAATTTGTGTTTACTTTAGGATTTGGGTTATGTTGACTTTAACCGCTGCGTGCTTATTTTTCATTAAGACCGGTAGTCTCTACAAACATTGTCAACATAGGAATTATTAAGTATTAAGAAATAGTAAAACATCAGTATTTTTGACATACGTTACTCTCTCTCTTTCTCTATCTATCTTAAGTTTTTTGCTTTCACTATCCGACGCAAATAACATGCGACGGACAGCTGCATTTTCATCATCACGTAGCTGGCTTATAGTGTGCATACGTTTTGATTTATTTTGATAGATATCTAAGTAGTATCTAATTAATTGGGTTATTTAATTCTAACAGACTGATTCCTGGTATATTTATTTAGGTAATTAACATTTGTATCATATATCTGACTGATCCTATACCTATACACAGTCTATATTTTAAAAATGTTTATAAAACTAGGTCGGTACTAGACAGTAACAATAATTTAAATTATATAATTAGATATGGGTGCACACATGGTCCACATAATCAATAAACTACTTACAAAAATTTTAAAACAGGGAGAACCATTTAAGATTTTCCAGTTATTCTGAAATAAGGTTTAGATATAACTTAGGAAAGCACATGTTAAAATGCTATTATAAAAAAAGCTATAGGGAAAAAAATATGTATAAAATATCTATTTCTACGTATATTTTGGTTTACTTCATAAATTTAATTTGGTCTGGAAGTTAGGCATTTTAACAAAATGTTTTGGCGGTTTTGCAAAATTCACAAAATACTAAAACGAGTCTATGGTAACTAACAATACGTCGCATGTCAAGCATGCGTGATAAAATTATGATTTCAATTTGTTCCTATAACAATTTCCTTATGTTCACAGCGACTTGCAACTCACCGGTATCCATACTAATAAAATCCAGGATATCTTCGTCACAAACCACCATAAAACAACACTAAAACCACAAGAACTAACGTCACTTCACCTAGCTGATCTTTATCAATGCTCCAGCGTATCATCAGATGTTGAATTAACTTAACCGTGTAAATAATTAACCGCTAACAAAAACAGTATTCTCGTATAGTTGTTGCAACTAAAAGAATCTAGCACGCAACAGCTGTTCTTTTGGATCTCAGAGACCATTTGAGTGGAAACGTCATGGTCTTAAGATTATATTGATGCGTGTACTAGAGTTATTTAGAAGCTCCACCCTTGGACGCCTTTATGTTATAAAATGGCCGATTTACGGTGTCGGCCAATCAAGTTCGTTATGGTTGGGGGGATCCAAACGATTTTATTGGTTGACTCGACGGGCATGACTGTTTTAGAATTGTTGAACTAATGCTTTAACGCTGGTTTTTATTCTTCTTGTTGTTCTAATTAATGTTTTCGTGCAAAAGTACTGTCAACAAAAGTATGGAAAAATTCGCTTGACACTAGATTAATGATGCTGGTTCATGTAATCTACATTTTCTTTAACAATCTTTTTTCAGGTACCTACTTATGTTGTTAAAAATAAGTAGCTACATAAAAAGGAAGTGCATAATTCGTTTAATATTTTGAGTAATAGAATAAGGCATACATGAAACAGAGTGAATAAAACTATGAATAACACGAAAAAAAACATTGACACGATGACACGGAACAACAACACAAGCTGTAAAAATTTGACCGTTCATTGACGATAAACCAAAAAGTATTCATTTCTCGTGGATGTTTTTGTAACTGTGTCCTGCACTTATCGCACATGTACTTATAGCGTTTTTGCTGTTATAGTAGTCTCCGAGATTGCATGAAATCTTACACATTTTTTACTGATCTGCTTCTACTGCTATTCATTTTCTAAGTTCTAAAATTTCAACTGAAATTTTCTGAGTAACTTTAGCGAAAGGAGTCTAAATTAAAATTTTCAATAAAAAAACAATAGCAATGTCTGCATTGTTTATTCATACTTAGGTATATAGTTTTTGCATTTATGTAGTTATATACTGAATGAACGCTTTTTTAGAGGTTCAATAATTATTTATATGGGCTTTCAGCAATGATATAAACAATAATAATAGCATCAGTTCAATCCATTTATGTAGCCACGGTTTTTCTAACGAATAATTCCATCCAAAAATTTGATGACGTCATCTCAAAACTCCCTTAACATAGATATATACTTACAGAAATATACCTACCGACTACCTACTTAACTTAACTTAAAAATGCATACAAATTTATTTGTTTTGAAAGTTGATAATGTTATCTCAAAAAATTAAATACTTAAATCTTTATTGCAAAATCACTACAGTGGTTGAAACGACCTTATGGGCCGTTAATTTTAGTGCTGAAGTTTGTAATTGTTTTACATTATTTCGAATGTGGCATTAAATTTTACAACTCATTTTAGAAACGTGGCAATTTTTGATATTTATTGCCATTTTTACGAATTACTTTTTTCTAATTTCTTATGGACCTTCGAACAGTTGTCAAATTATTTTTAGAAAATTAGAAGCTTAAAAATTAAACCTTTGTCGGACACGAAATTTTTGATAATCATTCTAAGTTTATAGTTAACATACACCTACGTGTGGTAATAAAAAATGACTGCTATGGGTACAAATTATTTATGTTACACATAAAAATATTGTAGTGATGTCTTGGTTAAAAGAGCTTATTTTAAGGTAAAAATTCTATAACCAGAGTAGAAGTTCAAAAAATCAACTACCTACTCTAAATGGAACATTCAAAGGCATCATACCTATATAGGTTTGGGCACAAGCTAAAAACAATGGCGTTTACAAAATTTCAATATTTCTATTCGTTCTCAATACATAAGAGACATCTTGTATATCAAAGTTAATATATTTCACAACTTCAAATTATTAAGTAAAGAGAAATTTTGCGTGAAAAGTAGAAGAAAGAAACTGAGGAAGATCACCGAAACGTCAATAAATCTAGATAAGATAAAGTTTTAACTTGGTGTTAACACTAATCTATCATTTATTTTCAATCCGAAGGACAATAATCTGGGTGTTTTGAAATAAGTAGTATATATAGTGAACCAAGACCTATAAGGTTATATGGCCATCATAAAAGTAGTTGATCGCAAATAAATACCCCCTTTGTGTGGTTCGCACTAAGCTTACCGGTTGGCAATAAATCATCTTCTAAACATTTCTTGCTCATATTTAACAGGGCCGGCTTTCAAAGCGAGTGGTTATTTCGGAACCCTCAGCGGCTGCAGGTAGTAAAGAAATAGTGGAGTGGTGGATTTTCATATTTAGTGAAAGCCGCCCCTGAACGAAACCACAAGAGCCGGTCGAGCTGCAGTGGACACGTTATTTACGACCCTAAAACCTTTTCTATTGTAAACAACTTAACTTCGACACAATGGGATGATTTTATGATGGCCATATAACCTTATAACTCTTGGTTCACTATACCTACTTTGCTTTCCAGTGTTCTTCACACATTTTATCACTGACTGCAATCGATTTTTACCTCTAGAGATTAGCTGTTATCTATATAATGACAGTCACTCATGTCATAAAAATCGTCACACTTAAGCACTTTGTGTGTATACGTTTGAAAATTTATATTACATTTTTGATACACTTTTACTTTTCTCAAGAGAATTACAGTTACTCACACCTTGTGGGTGAGACACCATGAAAATTGCTCGACTAAAATGACATTTTTTACATATTACTGTGGACAAAAACTATCCTTACCTAATATATTCAAACATGCCTGAATCATGTGTGTGCTTGTGAATGTAGGCGTGTCTGCTTCTTAAAGTATACTAAAAAAATATACAACAATATATACAATCCAGTATATGAAGTTGCACAGTCAATTTACTTTCGTTATGTTCAAATACAACAACTTTTTTTTCCTTATTTAAAACCTGGATCAGTTGTCGTGTTACTTACAGCAGTAACCAGATGTCATATTTTATCATATGTCATCTCATCAGTGTACATATCCAAACTGTTCGGTTCAATTTCACTGCTGACTTAAGCGATATAGGTAACTAGAGCAGAAATACAAAAAATCACCCGATATCATGTCAGTTCCCAACCTCAGATAAACTTAGCGTCAAGAAATACCCTTATTAGGTACATTAACCTCTGTAAGTGTCAATTAAACGACTAGCTCACTCTAACGAAGTTTTTAAAACGATCAAATGAGAACAAAATTAGTTTTCAAAACTAACACTTTAAATTATAAAAACTTATTAAAAATTAAGAAATATAGGTACACTGAGGCGAGGCTTCACTGGTACTATTTTAATAAATTAATTTCCAGTTTTTTCCTACTATATTTAAAAAATGGAAAAAACTTTAGACCAGCTTATTCTCCCTTATTAAAAAAAAAATCACAAGAAAACGAATTTATTTTTTTGTATACCTACCTATGTATTTTCAAAAGTTTTATAGTTATTCTGTAAAAATGGGGTAATCCGTTCTTGATTTGATCAACAAATCATTAATTTTTTTAAGTCACCCTGTATAATCAATTAAAAACATGTGAATGTATTAATAAACCGCGCAACTATAGACTCAATATTTTGGATTATTAAAACGGATAAATTTTGATTAATGATGTTGTCTTAAAAATTTGCAAAATTTCAAAGCGTTCCCTTTTTCAGTTTTAAAGTTAAATTGTAAAATGTTGTTAGGGATATACAGGGTGTTATTGAAAGGTACGTACAACAAAATTGACAGTTATTCGTGAAATATAAGAAGTCTGAAAAACTTTTATTTTGTGTTATCAAAATTATAAGGGGAAAATTATAACCCTTATCCAACCTTTTTAGACCCTACTGAAGGATAAATAGGTAAAATTAATTTGTTTTAGTAAATCCTAGCAACTGTAACAATAAAACTTTTGTCAAGACTAAATTTTGCTATAGAAATGGAAGATGATCTTTTTATCAGAGGGGTACGGTCGTGGACAGTGAATTTCGTCCACCCATTTTTTTTTTTTTAAGTCTATTTTTCTTTTTTTGTCATTTTGACATAAAGGGGCAAACATTTTTTTATACGATAACTAACACTAGTCCGCGGTAAGCCGAAAAGTGTAGCGACATCCCGTCTTGGAAAAGGGATATTAGTTTACCTTCATTAAAATAACTAATCGATGGGAGGTTCGAAGCTAAATTAAATTTGACAATACTTACGCCAGTCATCATGATAATAAAGCACCGACTACAGTGAATTTTTGTGAATTCGCGTGAACTGTGTGGAACTGTGGACGAAATTCACTGTCCGCGACTGTACAACGAATTTGGACATAAATTTTAATAACATTTATCTCTAAATGGAGAACACTTTTACCTGAACTCTTTTTTACTTTTAGCACACATACTTCGAGACCAATTGCCGATTTTATTTTTTACGTACTTTTCAGTAACACGCTGTGTTTTTTATTTATTTTTTTTTCAAAAAATGTTTATATTTTGGATAAACAAATTAAGACGGATTCATCTGAGGGAATATGTTATTAGATATTTTTTAAATTTTAATAATCTTTATTCTAAAGATTTTGATTTTTTAAATTCTGGTTAGCGTTTTACCATCTACACAAAATTCCTATAAAAAACACATACAAAACGGCAAACCTATTTTTTCGTACTCTAAACGTCATGAAACGTCAAGAAAACGTGAAAGTGGCGATTCATTAGATGTAAAAAGAAAAATTTACAATTTTTAGTTAACTACGATTCGGTCCAAGGTAGCCCACACCATTTTGAACAATTTTTTCCTAAATCATTTACATTTTTTTTTCCAATAAAATGAAGTTTGTTTTACATTTCATTCTACGTGAGCGTAAAGTTTAACTAAATGAAAATGAACAATCGGTATTATTGTTTTTGTTTATTAAATTTTCAGTAATTGTGTTACTTGCTACACGTAATATACAGGCTGACTCACAGCTTTGGAGACGTAGAAGAGTCACACACTGAAACGAATTTTAATTTAATATTCTGATACTCTCTTCAATACCTAATCTGCAAAACTTTTGACAAAACTTGCCACTATTAGCACTTTTATAAATAGGCATTGGCTTAAACAATTGAAATGATCTGATTATACAAAAATTATAGGTCAGCGGGTTCATGTGAGTCATCTCAGC